GATCTCGGCCGTTACTACTAGATCGAAGGCCAGATCCGGTGTGAGATTGGGATCCAACAGCTCAGGATCGAGCGGATCCGGCAGGCACAGGACGAGGAGGCGTGGATCCACAGTTTGAAGAAGTATCTGGTTGGCGAAATACGCGATCTGACACAGGAAGAAGCCAGATCTTGCGGATCCATCGCTATGAATTATGAAGTGGATCAACATGATCTCCTGTTCTACTGTCCCACTACGAAGGGATCAGCTGCGGATCGGGACAAATTGATGCGACTAGTGTTACCTGAAACGCTGCACCAAGATGTTCTACACATTACCATACCAGTCTACAAGGTGGACATCAGGGGATCGGCCGCACCTACGACCGGATCCGGGATCATTTTCACTGGAGAGGATTGTACCGAAGTGTGAAAAGATATGTCGGTGAGTGTGTGGATTGTGAGACCGGAAAAGAACGACCCCGGATCCAGGGCGAATCGCCAGGTAATCTTCAAGCGACCTATCCATTCCAGATCATCGCCATGGACCACATCCCCTCATTGCCCAGATCCTATAAAGGTAATACTGATCTTCTGATCTTCGAAGATCTCTTCTCTGGATATGTGATTGCCAAGGCGACCGGCTCCAGGACGACCCAGACCGTGGCAGAATCTTACGAGGAATGTGTATTCCGCCGATTTGGTGCCAGCGAGGTGATCCGAACCCGGATTTATGTCCGATTTCTTTCGAGCGTTTAATAAGATCCTGGATCAGCGTCAACGTGCAACAATGGCGTATAGACCCCAGGCGAACGGATCCGCAGAATAGATGGTACAGACTACCACAAGGGCACTTAAGATGTATGTCCAAGATCTGGATCAGCGAGATTGGGACGAGTATGCAAAGCGACTTACCTTCGCGATCAACACCGCTCGGGATCGGATCTGCGGAGAGACGCCTTTCTACATGGTTCATGGCTGGGATCCGAGATCCACACTGGAGGCGGTGATCCCGATGGGAAGTACACGAAGACA